CAGTTGAGCAACTTGATCTCGACGGGTGCCGAACGGTACCCTAGAAAAAAAGGGGCATGACCCATGGATACGCCAGGTAGATTTAAGAAAACACACACACCAGGTATATGTGACATATAGCTAAATAAAACACCAGGTATATATATATATGTGACATACGACTGTGCCCATTTTCTACGACCAGGTCGACTCCAGGACAAAAAACGAAGCCTGGACTGCCCAAAGCCCGTCTCGTTCGGTGCCTGAGCCCTTCAAGTTCTCCTCGACCATCGCTCGTGGTCTCGTGCGTGCGAACGTGGTGGTTTCAGTCTGCTTGGAAAGGCTGCTTGACATTGTTGACATCACAAAAAAAACAACAAAACAACAAAAAACAACAACAAAACAACAAAAAACAACAACTCCACCTTCCAAACATTCACCAGCTCTTGGAGTGAGTCCAGAAATTCTGGGACCCAACGATCGAAGATTCGGATGGTCTTTAAAGGTCTTTCTGTTCTGGTTTTGTTTGACTTGCGGATGTTGAAACTGGTTGGTGATATTTGACAAACCAAACGAAGCACACGGGGTGATTCTCGGGATGGGTTGGAGCCGCCTTTGGAAAAGCTCCATGATAGATAGTGCTGCAAGCAACTTCTCGATTCTATCGTTGGACCCAAGATTTCTACGTGCGTTTAAGGCACAGATATTGCAGCTCACCAATGCTTACAATATATTGATCCAAGGGCAAAAATGGGCAAAGTATATTTTTTGGGGTTCATTGGATGCTTCGTTCGCGGGCAAATTTTTCTTCGCTGGAGCAAGAATCAAAATGCGGAGCAAGGACATGGCAAGCGGAGAAAATGAAGCTCGACATGCATCCGTAAAATAATTGCAACCTCCATGCAAACGTTGTTGTGACCTTTTCAAGGGCGGATCAAGCTCAACAAAGAATACAGCTACCCTTAGAGGAACTCTTCTGCCGATGGGATCTTTTAAGCGGACCCCAGCGAGAGGCTTCTTTCCAGGTCGACAAGTCAACCGTTTCACGAAGCCCAGGACCAGGACCTTCAAAGTGACCGTTTGAGATCGAATGAGGCCCCATCCCAGACACTCCATGCATGCCATATATGCCTACATTGACCCCCAAAACCACCCCAATTGTAGGCATATATGGCATGAGTGTCTGGGTATAGCCACCGCTCAGCCCTGTGGACAAGTGTCGCGACCACCGGCAAACACCTAACGTGCCGTCACACAGATGGTGCGAACATGTCCGCCGTTTTTGGTTGAAAACAACCATCCCCTTGTAACGTGAGGGCTCTTTCCACAGCCGATGCCACAGGGAAGAGACAGATGGGCCCCTTTTTGGATCAGGCCTATGAACCTAAGGACTGGTAACTGGTCTGGAGAACATGGTCAACTGTCTTGAAACAGTTTCTGTCCTGGGAACCGCTGGTGTGAGCCTGTTCTCCATCTGATCGCATGGGAGAACACTCGTGCACCAAACTGAAGTAACCGCCAAAACCGTGCGTTTTCCATCCTAAACAACGGGAAGAAACGTGCGCGGAACGCTGGTGTTCTCTCACCGGTGCTGTTCTCTCGACCGGGCCGCTCGGAAACGTCCGGCAACGACCCGGCGGGGCGACGGTGGAACGAGTGGAACGACCCCGTCTCTCTAACCTACTTTCATCGACCTGTCTTACCTGTATCCCCCAAGAGCGCACCATGAGATCGACCTGCGATGACCTGCACGGCTAGACTAGAAGAATCAAAGCACCGCAACATCACACTAGTAAGCTTTAGAAGGGTGCAGTACCGTCAAGCACGCCCAGCAACAAGCTACGCTTCTTTTGCTACGCTGCTACGCTTCGCTGTGGCATTCTCACGGCCATCACCCGGTCTTGCACTTCATGCAGGCGGGAAGGCCTCAAAGTTGCCAGCAGTTGTCGTGCCATCCTCACAACACATCATCAGTAGTGGCAAGTCCATTGATACTCTGAAAAGATCTAAAAGCGGACAATCTTGAGGGTGGGGGCCAAGCTACCTTCTATATCCTGAACCTCCATGGCTGAAGTGATCATTCTCATTGCCCTTCAGGTTTAGGACTCTGTTCGGGAGTTGAGGGGGACCCGGCATCGGATCGCGAGTCGGCTGCGGATGGCTTGAGTCGAGACCTCGGGTTGGCTGCGGATGCCGACGAAAAGAGCTCCAAGCATGCTTCCAGGTTCTGAAAGACTTTCTCTTCAGGGACAACGTCTTCAAAGACCCAAAGAACCCAACACTCTCAGACTACTTGCGCAGTACCAAGACCATCCTGTCTGGGTGTCCGACTATGACTACGCTACGTAGGGACCTCCAAACAGGACAACCAAACAGGATGGTCAAGGTATATCTTATGGCACCAAAGGTCATCCTGTTATATACCAGACCAAGAGGTACCAAAGGTATGGCACTAAAGGTATCTCTGTTACTTGGTCTTATGGCACTAAAGGTATCTCTGTTACTTGGTCTGGTCTTGGCACCAAAGCTTTGCGTCGCGAGGTCCGCGTCGGTCGGTTTGGCATGACGGCGCAGCTGACCGCGCGGTGCTGGTGATACGGACGGCGGCTCGCGCCGTGGCGCGCACAGTGGAGACCTTGTGGAGCTTCTTATCGGAAAACTTGCGGAGACGATGCACACGATGCACGGTGAAAGGCACGCAACTCGCTGAGTGTGCTGTCAATTTCGGCTGAAACACCCGTTCTACAGGCTGAAACGTCCACAAAAGTGAAAAGAACGCGGGATACCGAAACCATGGAGACAAACATGCTGAGGTGGCTGGGCAAGTGTTCTTTCTCCTCTTTGTTTGGAACCATTCGCTCAGAAGTATAGTATTATCTAGTTTGCATTCCTTTCCTCCCGGCCACTCTTCCGATGGATTCATATCTATATGTATAAAGTTAACTCTTCAATACTTCAAATATTGAATGCACGAAAGACCACACAAACATAAAACATCTCATTTGCGACCCGCTCATGCATTCCTAATGGAATATCTGGACATTTCTCCCATAGCACCGTTCGGTGCCTGCAGTTTAATGCTGCTCCCCCTCTCTCCACAAGGATTCGTTTGTTTCCCGGCCAGGCCGGCCATGCGTGAAAAAAAAACAGCGGCAAGAACTCATGGACTCCAGAACCGGCCGTGCGGATTCAAGGGAATTCCAAGCTGTTTCGCATTAGGTAAGATCAACTGAACAAGTTGAACGAATACAATAGAAAAAATCAACACATTGGCATAATATGTATATCGCTGTTTGTCACTTTCATGTGACATCTCCTCTTTGGGAGTACTATTACTCTGGGAGCTTGATAGAACGCCTGGCATTCATTATATACGATGAAAGCATACCCCCCCAAAAAAAGTTTGTCCTTACCTCTGTGCCATCAAGGATTTGATGATCAATACATATCAAAAGCGTATTCCAGGCGCCCAGCAGCAAATCCTGCAAATCTGCTGTCATGTGGAGAAGATGAAGCATAAACAATAATTCGGTTCTAGATCTACTCACGTCCCATAGCCCCTTGAAACGATCCTTCACATCACCATGTTGTCTCCCCACTTGCGTGGGCAAAAGGATCCATGTCCATCCTTTTCTTTGCATCATGGGGGACCCAAGGATCATACAACAAAAAGAGGAACACTCCAAGCCAGGTTCCCACCAGTAGCAACCAGTAGTAGCAACCAATATATATATATATATATGAGTTAGCGTCAAAAATATATGCTTGGAGTGTTTTCGTTTCACTTTTGTCAGTCCCCTATCGTTTTTCATGGTTTTGGATTTTGCAAGTATGTATACATACGGGTATCGTTTCTTGTCAGTCCCCTATCGTTTTTCAAGGAAAATCACGAAAGCAACACAGAGATGAAACGTCCCTTACTAAAGTGGTTGATGATAATTTTGAGGTTGCCTATATATATATGTATATATTTATATCATATCCTAAAGATATTGATTAACTTCTCCAACTCCACCAGAAATGGCACCAAATCTGAGCCAAGAGATTACTTTTTCAATTTGTGGATCGGCCATCGGTTCAACGGAGCCAGTTTATATTTTATCACGGTAACTCGGCTCCTTCTCCCGCAGCATTTCATCCCGTTTCTCCCGGTTCCGGGACAAAGGAATGTGGCGAAGGCGAGTCTTGCATTCTAAGGAATTCTCTGCTGCACAGGCCAGGTGACCTACCAGGAAAAGAATATATATATGTACTGTTTTAACTATATACCTTGCATACTTACATAAATATATTTTTTTGTTTTACGATATACTAAGTGAACTGATACTCTCGTTTGGGGGGCATCCATCTCCGTTCCGTTCCGCACAGCGAGAACATCGACGTGGCTGAACGGTCTCTCGAACGAACGGCAGCGGAAACGAGGACGAGTTCCGATCCCAGATCATCCATGGGACTGACATATTTGCATATATACAATTATATCCATTGGGGTGGTGTCACGGGGGGGTCGATGTATGGCATATATTCCAGTCCCATGGATGGTCTGGGACATGGAACGGCTGCTGGTTTTGTAGCTGTGAGCTGCGGAAACCAGCGGGAGAAACCACTGCACATGTTCGGGGGTCTTTGTGTAACAAGTTTTTCCTCATGCCAGCGGCGGGAACTCTTCTGTCTTCAGAGACTCTGATACCCAGCTGCGCCTGCCACAACAGACCAAGGCTTGGGTGGCTAGTATGCCGCCGATTTTCCAGGTCTTTGCACCAATGCAGGAGAAGGACGCTGAGAATCTTAAGTCCGAGAACTCCTGAGCATCACCCAATTCACACCAAAGAAATCATCAAAAAGGTGTTTCAACTCCGTCGACTCTTGGACTTCCCGTCTTCATTTTCACATAATCTGCGCAGTTCGTTCAGGGTCAAGTGTATCATTCTTACAGGAAGGCTAAGGCCCGTCCTCATCGGAAGACCATCCATCACAGGAAACACGGAATCCTGTTCAACAAGAGAGAGTGCAAACTCTGGATTGTCATCTTGGTGAACTCAGGAGTTGCAGCTTCTTCAGGTCCCAATAGCTGAGCGTCAGCTCTCGCGCTTGCGCTGAAGATAGCGTTGGCGTCGCTGGCGGCCTGCAGGGAGGAAGAGTACAACGCTTTGCCTCACGGGTTGGGTAGGAAAAAAGTCCCAATCCAATGATGCTTGGCATGGCTCAAAATCCAAAGAAATCGACATGTCTTTGGATGCTCAACAACACGGCATATCTGCAAACCAACCAGTACCTGTACGGTTCTCTGCTAAAGCTGTGTTTACATAAGCCACATCTGTCCACCAAAAAGTGGGTAGATGGTATGACGAAGGCCTCCCAAAGCACCAATGATACAGCGACATGCAAATGTAGTTTTGCAGGGCTAACAGAAAACGTATTACATAAAAAACATCGGTTTGTCAACGCTGGATTGGAGACCCCAACAACAAAAAAACAACAGGTTTGATGAATTTGGTGCCAAGACTGGACAATCATGGAGACCCAAGTTTGGGGATGGCGACCATGCTTGCTTCAAGCACATGGCGCGAAACAGCTGTCCCCGCCTCATGCGAGGGATTCCCGCAAGTGATCCAAGTGGTGTAAGGCTTCACTGACCTCGAAAGCGCTGGTGCATGAAAGCCGAAGATGGGAGGCCTGCTTGAAGGATGGGAGGAGTTGACAAACATGTCCCATTCGGTTTGGAGGTTTGCTTCGTTCGCTCCTCGTACAGGTTGTGAACGTTTTTCCTTCCATCTATAATAGACTATATCGGACTATTGATAATTAATTAGATTAACTTATATCCAACATTGTCCAACTATATGCAGTATTATGCAGTGTTCTTCCCTTCATCCAGAAGGTAAGCCAGCCAAAAGGGCAAACATTTTGTGGACGTTGGAAGATCCAGGCATGCCCTCCCATCCACTCAAGACATGTCGCTACTGGTCACTGTTATGGCTTGCGTGCCGCGAGGGGGGGGGCGGGCGGCATGACCAGTGGCAAACTCCACGTATAAAGGTGCCTCATTTATTATGAGACATGGCCGCTACGTAACGACGCCTCATTCAAATGAAGCTTCCCTGCGGCCAAAAAAAACACTATTGACTATTGATACATTAATTATACAGTGACCCGGAAGATTCCCGTTCAAGCTGGTGCGATTTCAACTCTGGCAAGTTGAACATGCCACAAACCACGAGTTTTTCCACCCGGGTCTGTTCTTTGATCCAGGTTTGATGGCTCTAGTCCTTGATTTTCTCATCCCATTGATGCCAATACATACCAGTACATACCGATCCCGATCCCATCTCCCTAGTCAAACGTCCGTCCCCAGGCATGCCATCCTCCCCTCCCGCCATACGGGCCGTCGCCCGGCTCCAGCCGCCCAAGGCACACGTGTCCGGCTCACTTGGATGGACTTGTTTTTGTGCGCACCCTGACGACAAACCGCGGCAGATGGAGGCTCCGATAATTGGCTAAAAGAATAGCCACGATTCATGATGAACATGCAGGGTGTATGTTGGAGAATCATAGTTGCTAGATTTGAGCACAGGTTCTTATCCGCAAGACCGCGAGATTGGAGTTGAGACCAGGGCATCTATACAGAGCTTCTTTAAGGCTTGATGAGAAATAATGGACAATTGCTACGTTCAACTTCCAATGTCAATTCACTCATTTAAAGGGGCCTTTCCCCAAAACATATATATATATAGAAGACACAAGCTGAATCATAGTGTGGATGATCTTGGGAGACACCAGGACTTCATTCGATCTGTGGCTATTTAGTGGAACCACCAGTGACCAGCGCGTGGTTTGCCTGGATGGCGGCAAACACCGCACCTATCTCAGCGGATTTTGCAGTGGACTCAGTGGACTAAAGAAAATGCCCCAGGAGCTTTGTGTGCCTGACAAGAGGGGATGGGTCAACAACTGAAGCCCTGGTCGACCATGTCGCTTGATTTTGTAGGTAATTAGGTCAACCAAGGGGTAACCAAGGATCTTGGTGCGATCCACAACCATAATGTTATTCTGCTCTGAGTTTCCCTCTCCACAGAAGTGCATACAAAAACAGAGCTTGATGGATGCCTCAAAAGCATCTGCAGTCTAAACATAATCCCCTGACTTAAATCACCCCTAAAGAATCCTTATACTTATACCGTTACCTGAGGTTCGGTGGAACTGGCACAACTACCTTCTGATGTATGTTCCATTCAATTAGTGCCGTCTCGAATCTACTCAAGGCAAAGTACCTTCTGAGGAGATCGTTGGATATTCTGCACACTTTTGGAAAGCCATTCGGACATTTGTCGTTCAATTGCGGACAGCATGCCGTGCAAACTGCCCTGCAATGCCCTGCATGTCTCAAGATCTTACTGAGAATCGGGGGCTATTCCCACCATGCTGCTAAAGGTCCCTTTGGGAGTGGTTTTAGACATGTTTGAGTTGGGTGGGTATGGGCCCGAATTAATTCCAGTGGTTTTTCCTCATCTTTGTTGAGGCATGCCTCAACAAGGGGTTTGATTCCACCACCAACCCCAAACATGTGTTTCTTTGTTGCATCATCGACCGTCTGGCAGTCTGGGCGGCCTTCACATATTCTTCTGGGAAAATGTGGCGTAAGAACTCGTCATACTCAATGGTGCCACTCTGATCATCGTCAAACCTGGGGACCCAAGTCAAAACGCACATTTCGCCGCTGAAGCCGAAGCCGAAGCAGCGTGCGCGTCGGGTCCTGCGGTGTTCTCCGATGTCTACGCGGGTGGGAAAGCTGTGTGGTCAACGGACGGCCTTTAACGATCCATGCTACAAGTACCCATTTATACTGTCAGCAAATGACATGGGTCTGGAATATGGGTGAAAGTAATCAAAAACAATGGACATATAGGTTGGCGGGATGGTTCACACTTGATCCACATTAACTTTGTCATTGGTCTCAAACAAGCAAGAAACGATTCCATGGTAGACACCCTTTTTCTACCAACTTTCCCACTAGCATCTTCCTGACTCCATTGTCATGCGCTAATGCGAAGTTACGTGCATACCGCAAAGCACACAGTGTGGCATGCTCCGTCCACAAAACACATGACATGGGCAATTCTCATTTTTACCAAGGTTCACGGTGTGGCATGTTCTGTCCCAGATGACATGGGTTTGATTCTGCTCGGTAGGATAGCTTTTAGAGTCGTCATGTCACTTGCCTAGAGTATAGCCATATCATGCTGTCATGCTATGTCATGCTATGTCTAGAATGCTTTCAAATGCCTCATTCTTCCTGTGCTGATCAGAGGCAACTGGAAGAGATCCACTGCACTGTCCATGGTGATGCCAATCCTCATCCTCGCTGAACGGGAGCAAAACACAGGGTTCCCAGAAAGTCTGAAACTGGATAGTTCCCTACTAGGCTGGTCGCATGGTGCTGGGTGGCTTTTGAGTCTCTAATTAAGTGAGTGGATGTGACGACGGGGCACCCATATCCCAGTTCGCACCCCAACATGGAACTGCTGGTGCAGTCAAGCAGCCTCAAAGCGTCCGTGTGTTCAATGCTTTAGCAATCTAGGAACCTACCCCTTGCGACACCTCAAAGCGTCATCAGGATTATGTGTACTCCGGGGGAAAAACAACACAGACCACAACTCAATTTCAGGTGCTATTTAACATGGACCACTGGAAACGGTGACTTACTGGCAAAACGGTATTAGCACTATTTTGGTCCATTTCTGCTAACATTGACCATTCCCACTCTCAGCCTATGATCGAATCTGACACTAACATGGACCGACTGCAATCTGACTATACACAGAACGCAGGCTAATATAGACCGCACCGGTAGAGGTCAACATAGCCAGGTGGACTAACATAGACCATGCCACATACCTCTAGGGCCTCATTTTTTTCATCCCACGATCTCTTCATGTCTCTCTCATATTTCATCTTCAGAGTGCTTTGGAGAACGGAGGGCTTTAAAAAACAGAAGGATAGTCTCAACGGAGGCAGGTGCGAAACTAGACTAACATATGCCACAAAAAGAACTATATAACTATTATATTATGTGCCTAAAATGTCAGTTTTCTCCGGTGTATATTATTCAATTATATTCAATTTATTCTTACATTCATTCCGGTATAATATGGTATAATGTAGGTTCTTGCTCGATAAAACCCTCAGTTGGATTGTAAAACCTATGGGTACTTTATCACTCTATATTCAGGACTCTACTTACTTTACCAATTCTGTAATTGTAGACCTCATGAGTTGTCAGCTAGGGTTCTGATGAAAAAGCTCCACGAACTCGTTGAGGTTCAGATTCCCATTGCCATCCTTGATCGCAGCGATGGCGCCGAAACGGATGACTCACTGGACTGCTTCCCAGGTATTGGCTACATATTATATATCATGGACTGCACAACTACATGGACTTCTGACATTGGCCCCGCCAGGCCAGGCTCTCAAAATATGCTCTTCCCCCTTCAAGTATGTTGGCCAAACTCTGGCCTGACTCGAAATCACTGTACGTGGCAGAAGAATATCCACCCCAAAGCCGCTACTGTAAACACAATGCAGAAGTAGGTCAAAGCTGAATTGGAGCTTTTGAAACAAATCGACTCCATCATGCATACCTAAGCCCAGAATCATGTACCCACTGTGCTGTATGGAATGTCACCATTTTACAGCCACCTCGATTGAACAAGTTAAATCGACTGCAACTACTCTGAATTGTTTTTTTTCTCAACAATAAACCTTGCATCTCTACCTACAGTATCCACTTTTCAGGCAGTAAATCGACAAAACGACTATAACTATATCTCTGAAGAACCGCCACCAGCGCCACCGAAGTGCAAACAAGGATGGTGCATGGCATGTTGATCTTGATTTCTTTCCACGGTCGACGTGGGATGCTTGGAAGCCCTGAGCTCGTCCGAGCTCGCCCTTCGATGTGCTGCTATTCATCCTGCCCTTCGTGCTTCCCGATCGAACCATGGAAGCCTTGACAGTCTCGACCGACCGATATGGGCTGTCTTTGCTTCAAAGCTGCTGTGTCTACAAACTCGAATAAGACCTTGACATCATTCGCGCTGTAGCCCCATTTGGCCAAACACTTCCTTAGACCAACGGGGTCCATCTCCAGAATGGCAGGGGGTTCTCTTGCTACAAGGACTTGGGGCCAAACTGATGTTCATCGTGCTCATTGTGGCACATGTCCTCCCCGCGACAAAAACGGAATCGAGAGGGGTCGACCAATTGGGCTTTCCCCAGAAATTGGCCAACCTAGACCCTATGGTATTAGGAAAAGCCCCTGAGCCCAATGGGTGGAAGGTGTTTTTCCGTTCGCGGAAGTCTCGGGGGCGGGGGTTGGTCGACAGCTCCCTTTGAAAGTCCTCCACCACATGCGCAAAACTACAAATCACTTGCAAATCTTGATCAATATGTAAAGCCAGCAACTTGAACATGAACACAAAGCAGAGTTAGAATGAAACTTGTGCATCAAGTCTACTTCATCAAAGAGTGCCAAGAAACTGCGCGCGAGTGAGCAGCAGGACTCGTGTGCGTTGTGACCAGCATGCAGTAAACTCATTGCCAATAATGCCCACGGGCAAGGCTAGGAATAGAACCTCGTTTGCAGTTGCAGTGTCGTCGCCTTTACCGATCTGGCCTTTTGATCAAGGTGATGAACCTTTCGCAAACCAAGAACCCTGGCAGCAGGCGTTGGCAAATTAACACTTGGAAGGAACACGATTGAGGGAGCCATGTATCACAAAGACTGCCTCACCACAAGGGCTGAAACCATTGGTTTCCCTGGAAAACCAGGTTAACCTGTTTCGACTTGTTGGATTTTTTGTTGTGAAACCACTCCCCCAAAAGGATCCAAAATGATCCAAGGATGTTAACGGTTATCCACTGGAGTGGGTAATTAGGAGGGTCACACCATGCTTTCGACCCACTCAGCCAACACGACCGGAAACGAACTCTTTTACACAAAAGGTCGATCGTCCGGTCCATCGTCCGGGCCTCTCCGGCCTCAATTCTGCATTAAAACACGTCAAACGCAACATGTGAATACATGTGACATGAAGTTACTACTGGCACCAAGAAGAAAACAACACCTAAAGTGAACTGAATTAATTGAAAGTCGATGACCTGAAGTCCTTCCCTCGGTTCAATGGCTTTCGCGCTTCCGGCGTTGCAGCTTTCGATCGGGCCCCCCTCAGTTCCGTTCTCACACCCCATCCATCTGCATCTTCCAAACGGACTAAACGCAGTGATGTCATAGCGTTGCATGCCCGACTGGCCCAAATTCTCAACATAAGCCTCATTGACTTGCTGCCACTTGGAAGAGCATAATCAAATCCTACTGATACCAACTGGTAAGTAGTCGGACTGTTATCTGTCAGGTGCCCTGAAAATAGCATCTGTGATGCTCAAATGGTCTCCCATGGTCTACCATACCACCAGCTCTGCCACAAACTGTACTGTTATGGCAAAAACCAAGCAAATTGATGTGTTTCCGCAGGTTCTCAAAACAAGAGGTCCTCTGGCCAATTCGATGCCTCACCCGACCCATCATTTTGTTTCAAGCTGCACTGGCAATCGTCAGGATAGAGACGATGAGGAAGCCTTTCAACTTTTGGTGTTCAAATCCCAATTCGACTAACTAACCTTCGCAAGGAGGTTGACTCCACTTTGTAGTCCAGAAGGTCTTCTGATTCTACACTACCTTTGGTCAACAACGCATAACAACTCACTCAATGACTCGTTTATGTGGGTTTGACACGGGATATGCAAACAACGCAGGTGCGACAAAGAGGGACGTATTTTTGAGTGAACCAACTGCTAAGTGTGGATGACCATCGCACCATTTCAGAATGAATTGAAGCAAATGGCTGCAGTCACATGAACAGAATGAAAACATATCACACTACTCAAAAACAATCGTTTCCCTGCTCTGACGAAGGTTCTTTCATGGTTGTGCCCTCACATCGTGCATAAGCCACGCGCAAACATAGAGGTTATGTGAGTGAACCATTTGAGTGCAAACACACATGCATCACGCTGTAACACGCGCATGGTCATGGAGAACAGTGGTCCCAAACATGCAGCCCACAAAACTAAGAGCAACAACTGGTGGTAATGGTTGGTCGCACGCGTGGTATTAATGACAATAGTCGTGGAAGAAGTAGTAGCAGTAGCAGTCGCAGTCGCAGTCGCATTCGGAGTCATAGTAGTAGTAGTAGTAGTAGCAGTAGTAGTAGTAGTAGTAGTGGTAGTGGTAGTGGTAGTGGTAGTCGTAGTAGTCGTAGTAGTCGTAGTAGTCGTAGTAGTCGTAGTAGTCGTAGTCGTAGTAGTCGTAGTAGTCGTAGTAGTCGTCGTAGTCGTCGTAGTCGTAGTCGTAGTCGTAGTCGTAGTCGTAGTAGTAGTAGTAGTAGTAGTAGTAGTAGTAGTAGTAGTAGTTAGTAGTTAGTAGTTAGTAGTTAGTAGTTAGTAGTTAGTA